ATGAATGTCGAGCACTTGTTGAACGATCAGTTAATTGTGACTGGCAAGACGAAGAATTAAGAGCGACGCGGTTGAAATTCAGAGGAGGACGTTCACTGGGTCTTCAGGTCAGCGAAGTAAGCCAAGTATCGGGCGAGAATCGAAGGAATCGAGCCACGATAACGGTGTCGTTCCCGAAAGGACGGTCGACCAGTTGGTCGATCGGTTCCGCAGAACCGAACATCAGGTTCGATCCCGAAGGTTGGCTCGACGAGCGGAGAGCCAGCCAGCCAGCTCTCGAACAAGAATCTGATGTAAGCTGGTAAGAGAGCAAAACGATCAAGGGTCGATGATTAAAACGGTGACTGCTCATTTTTCGCCGGTCCGATCGATCCTACCGATCGCGGGGGGATTGACGAGCTAATAACGCGGGACCGACACCGGTCGGTCCCGTTTAATCACGAGTACGTCTGTCGGAGGTATAGAAAATCGACCGACAGCAATTCCAGTTGCGTTGTGAACGAACACGTTTTATCCGCGAGACGGTGCACCCGACGCGTCGATCCGTTGTTCTCACTTACGCGCTACGGGGTGCGTATCGGGTGCCACGGGGCAACCCGTTTCGTGATCTTATCGGGAACCTCGATACTAAACGTCACGTTCGACCAGATAATAATTGCCGATCGGAAGGAGAACGGGAAACGAGTCAGACTGGTTAAGATATTAATAGCGTGCGCGAACGTGGGCACATACTAATAATATCCGCGGCATATCGTATATCATAATCGTAGGCGCTTTTACCGATCGACGACTCCGCGACTGATTTGTTGCGTGACCAGATCAATTTCATATGTAAATTACCAATTTCCTATCCGTATCGAATTGTCCAGGAGCCTCGATCAAGGACGCGGACGGTCTTTAGCGTATCTGGGGCAAACAGATCTTGAATTATGAAACGCGGCTTATAACTGAACTTAAACCCCGAGCTCCGTTCGAAATCACGTATGTACGCATCGTTTGCCGCGATGCTAATTCATGTCCGCAAGTAGAACGATATTTAAGAACCTTTTCCCGTGCTTATTTTTATCCTAGTATCCGCCTTAGCGCGAGGATCAGTTCGATATTTCTTTTACACGATCCGCTTATCGTGATCATGAAAAAGAAGAAAAATGAGAGAACTCAGTTCCAACTTTTACTGCTCCTCGCAATTTTACTTTCGGACAAATCCCTTGTCTCGTCGAACCTGCATTTAATTTTTTTTTCAACCGGAACGAACAAAAGTCAGAGAGGAGCGGGCGTAAACTCGTAAGGCGTAACTCACCGTCGGTCTGATCGAATCTCTGAACGTACTAGATTCCTCGATACGTTCCATTAAACGTGGCACGAGGCACCACCGTAAGCACGTGCATACGTACATGCCAGGTAAATAAAAAAGAGAAAAAAGAGAAAAAGGAGAACCGATGTTCGAGAGAGAGATAGGTGGAAGCGGATAAATCCGATTTCTAGTGAAAGGTGCGACCAACGTGCGGCCGGGAAAGTGTTTTAATGCATCGGGGGTGAGGGGAAGAGAAAAAAGATCCGCGGCGAGATGAAAAATGTTTCGCTGAGCGAACGAGAACGTGACCACGTTTCGTTCGCGCCGCGGTTTAATGAATAATTTACGTTTCCTAGGAGGCTGCGAGTGCCCAGACGACGAGAAAACTGTACCGATAGCATCTGGCCGTGCGTGCTCCCCGGCCCGGACCGATGCTACATAACCCGGACGCCTCTCCACTTAGCATAAAATCGTACTTACGCATCTCTCCAGCACAGTTTACTCAAGGAACCCGACTTTTTCTTTGTTCGACTTTTGCACCGAGCACGGTTACAGCCATAAGCTATTACGCCGAGAGAATTACTTTTATCGACGGTGCGCATCGAAAGTGATCGGAAAGAAAAATTGTCGCAACAACCAACACCGGGCCGAGAGCTCGTCCGAGAGATCCAGTGGTCGCTGACTGGTTTCGGTGTCACAGAACCAGGCCGTTCAAATATTTTCTAAGCATTTTCGAATAACGGTAACTGAATGCTCGTTCTCCAAAGAAACGAATTACCAGGTTCGAGATACGTAAAAACCATGGCTTTCGGCCGGGGCGTGGATCGACGTGATCGTTACCGCCGTAATTGAAGATCGGACCCGATTTCACCGACAATTTTCGCGCTCTTCTATTTTAAACGCGCGCAGAGGTGTGTAATTGAGTTCGTTGTAAACCAGGATGATGCCCGAACAGGTAATCGACCGTCGTACGTGTAATTACGAAACAGACTCGCGCTAATTGGCACGCGCGTTCTCCCTGAAAATCACGTTCGAACGTCGCAGACGATCGCCGATTGTCCGGGTTTCGAGACTACACGCGCGACGAATTAATTATTACCTTTCGTCAGGTGAAGCCTAACGAGATCTCACGATCATCACCCGTCTGGTTCAATCGAATCTGTGTGATGGAACATGATTTCGCAACGAGTTCGCCGAGGGCGATGGTCATTGACGGCGGAAACCGTTACCGTTTGCCGAATCAAGTTTGTCGTTGGCACCCCTTTCAGTTTGTTCGGATCATCAGGTGGCTCGTTTAATCGACGCATTAATAAACATGAGATCGACTCGGGAAGCGACGCGCGGCCCTTTTTCCACCCGGATGAACGCGAAGCCCTTTCGAGCATGAGAGCACGGTTCATAGCCGACGGACCTGCAGAATACGACCCAGTGAGCATCTCGCTCTTTGTTTTTCTTCGACGTTCTCCACACCTTCTAGCAATTCCGTTTGTTATTTCCGTTTATTATACGCCAACAGACGGATTTAATTGCTGGCGGAGGAACGGGAAATCGGGTCACCGAAATCCGATCGCGGGGAGTCAACGAACCGAGACCCGTGACGCATTTAGAAGCTCATCTTTTATTGAAACGCCTCCCGGGTCTCTCGACCGCTTTCAATAAGGGACAATCCGATGTCCGATGATAACACACCGGTTTTCGCGACTTGAAAAGACGCACGGATATCGAGCGGAGCGAATTCGTCTGTCTCGCTGATATCCGATCAAAGGGAACAGATTCCCTCAGCTCAGGGGAATTCTCGGATCTCCGATCGTGAGAAGAGATAAGAGGACGGGATTCCAGGCGAGAGGGACCCGAGCCTCAAAGTTTTAAGAAAGTTTGGAGATCTTTTTACGAGCCTGCACAATGCCGGGACAGGAATCCCAGGAACAAGAACGTTTCTACCGGCGACGCTTTCTTCCTCGTGAAAGAAGGCATCAATTTTCGTGTCACCTGGTTTAACGTCGGCTCCCCGAGTACGGCCCGTGTCAAAGGACGAACAGGTGTACACGCGTTTGACAAATTGCATGCATCGCGTATATCCACTCTCGCCGTGTGGATACACAAGACTCGTTTGCCGCACGCCATCATTCACTAAATTCCCGCGTGCGGGAAAATGGCACCGATTAAAGTGATATGAAAATTTGCCCGTAACGTCGATGGTAAACGCGGCCCGACTAATTGTATCGTTTAGAGTTTTAACGAACTCGCGGGTCTCACCGCCGCCGGATTAAAACGAAATACATATGCATAATCGTTAACGCGACGGAATTTCCTAGTTCTTATCAGGGACTACCGACAACGGGCAACGCTTTTTCCCTTTCCGGAATCTCCATTACGTATACCGGCGAGGAGCTTTTTCAGACGATCAGCATACTTAATTAGGCGAGTTCCACCCGTAACTTGCCGTTTTACGAGTTATACGTGCCTGGTCGAACACTTCAACGACCCTTATGCACTCGCCAGATTGACCATAAGATAAATCCACTAAAATTAGCCTACTAATTGCAACGACACTGCGTGCGCAAGAAAAGTAAATCGACTCCTTGGTGCAAAATCGTTCGAGATATCGTAAATATTTTGTGGATCGACCAAGACATGAAATTATAAAACAAAACAAGGTTGTACGATGATAGATGAACTCGTACAATCTCCGCTTCCTCTTTCATGTAAAACCATTCGAGTTTGACGAACCATCCATTCCGATGAACGAGAACATAAAATGTACACAGTCCGAAGCGAGGTAGACGCGCAGAGGGCAAAAGGCAGAAAGAGGAAGCAACTCGCCCCCGTGAGTCGGCTGGTCGTGCACGAGGCTGCGGACACGCGGGAGATTAAAACGAAAAACCATTGGCTGCTCTTGGTTCTTTTTTTTCACCTCCGGTTGAAAGAGCATCGCACTTGGAGATACCGGACTGCCTGCCGAGAATTCAATGAATGCTCTGGCCGAACAACCATTTGCCGAGAAACGGGGGATGCCGATACAGAAACACCGGTAAAAGCTCCGGAAGAAGCTTTTGTTTGAGAGAAAAAGAACGACGCCTACACACGTTCAGTTTCAGCTTTTGAATTTTGCATCTCGTTAAACTGACCCACATCCAAGGGATCAATCGTAGTGCGTCCTAATGCGTCCGTCCAATTACAATTTGGAACCCCATTTGAATCCCCTCCAGTTCGTTTACGACTCGTTTCAATTAACTGATGCATCGTTCTGTCTACACGAAAATGTTTGATCGAACACGAGTATACGAGTTCATCCGTTCAGAGCCGATCGCGTGCGGTAAGGAAATGAGAACGGGACCGACCGCGTTTCACAATTGACATTAATATCAGTGAAAACGCACGGTTTCGACGGATTATCGACCAGCGTTACGCACGGACGTAGTTTTACTCTTCACCGAATAATGAATGGACCCGTCTGTTCGTGACGACCACGCCGTTTGTTCATATGTTCCTCAATTAGCCAACCGTGAAAGCGTTCGGGAGCGTAGACGGGAACGGATTATCGATCAATTTCACGGGCAGGATATCCGTGATCGGTCCTGGCGCAGGGAAAAAACGCAGCCGGAGAAAATACGAAGGACGAGTACGGGTGAAACGAGCAGATCGACCTGTTGCGAACTTTCACCGGAGCGATACTTGGCGCGGTGGTTAAAAAGCGAATACCGACCTTGGACGCAACACAGCAGGACGATCCCAACGAGGAGATAGACGTGACGCTGCATCCTTCGCGCTGTCGACGAACCGTCCGTCCGGGTACGTTTGCCCACGATCGTGTACCAACGACGTCGTTAAAGAGTAAACTTTCTCGAAGGCGCAGTAGGCGGACGGCTGAACGATTATCTTATTGTGCGCCGTGCAACGGGGTTTATCTGTACTTCCCTCTCTTTCGTTGGGCACCCGGTCGAAAAGGAGCGGACGAAAGATGGTAGAGAAGAAGAATGTGATGATGGTGATGGTGGTGGTGGTGGTGGTGGTGTTGGTGGTGGCGCCTTATGAGGAACGAGAGGAGGAAGTGCCCTCTTCGACCTCTATCGTCCTTCGAGGTCCACGAACGACTGAGCGGCACGAAGCGACGTCGGTCCGGCTATAGCCTCCCCTTCCTACTTTCACGTGGCGTGCTCCCGTTTCCAGTGGAGGCGCGGACCGGAGTGCCTCTCCATGGGCCATTTACCATTACCATCATCGTCGGCGGCGACGACGATGGCCAGCCGGACCGTGGAGTGGTGCAGACTGGACGAGGTGGAAGAAGCCTGAAAACCCATCGGAGATCGTAGAGCCACCGTTTCTAGGCCACCTCTTCCTCCTCCACGGCCGAGACGTATCTCATTCTTCCAGAAAGACTCGGTCGTCGTCGTCAGGAAGTCGTCTTCTGGTTTTATCTCGACCGAAGGGATGCCTCTACCCCGTTTCGTCCGTTACTTTCTCGATGCGATCCGGATGATAGTTATCCACAGGTGGTCGACGATCTTTTTTCCACCATCGACATCCGAACAACGCCAATTGACATCCGAATGGTAGCAATCTCGTCGGACATGAACGAACGTTGAACACACTTGTTTCTTTTTGACAAATAAACGAAGCGACGGCGCGAGACTGGATGAAAGAAAATGATTGGAAATTCTACGTATAGCAAACTTGATTGAGAAAGTTAGACGATTAAAATATTAAGACTCGTGAGGAGGAGTAGAAGGAGGAGGAGGAGCAGCAGCAGCAGCAGCAGCAGGACGCAGGTCGTTCATTTACGTTTTAGCGGGTGCACTTTCTAATCGGACGATCGCGGGGAATTTTCTTGTTACCGACAACGACATTGCGACTGTAATCTCCTTTCCTACTTACGTTCTAACCGCTAATTTCACGTGCGAACGGCATGGGAATCGCCTCTGCCGCGAATGGAAACATTTCAAGATCGCGCTCTCCATTTACATGCCGCGTTTAAAATGACTAATTAACCAGATTCCGCGGGCAACGCGCGATATCCTAACAGGGATTCCAATTAACTATGAAATTGGCTGGAGAACTGTCGCATGAAAAGTTGCATTGTTTATAGATTAAAACGATCCTCGACACTTTCCTAGATCCGATAAAATCGCTCTCGGTGCTCCAGTTTCGGTCGTCTAACGTTCGAAGGAGGACTAAAAAACGGCGACGCACCGGTTGTTACACGAAAGTGTGGCAGTGGCCCGAGGGTAGAGCCGGCCAAAGTATATTGCGGGGCCGGTCTCTCCCAGTTGGGTGCAGGTGCAGCGAACGAGTCGAACCTCTCGATGCCGCCTTCCCGGCAAGGCCGGGAGGGATCGTCGATCAACATCAACCGCGTCGGCCCGCGTCGGCCCGCGTAGGTATCCCGGGCGTGAAGCCTTCGTGTACACGTGTGTTGCCTGCTCTCTCGTGGACTTCACCATTAACCCACTTGCGCGCTTTGACTCTTTCAAGTACATACACCGTAGTGTATACAACAATTTTTCTGTACCCTGTCGGACGATTGGTCGTACTGCGTGTCACTGTGCATGCAAATTCCGGTTAACCGAGCCGAACGATGTCATTATTCAGAACGAAAATGGCGAGTTAGCAATCGGAATTATTTCTTGAAGGATGACAAGTTTCTCTGCTTCAACTGGATTCTCGATATGTTTCAGACACGAGATCAGTCCAGATTCATTGTGAATTTCGGCTCCCTGTCGTTGAGACACGATTTTAATAATGACCATTTTCGTTTCAGCAACGTGTCCTCGTGTACGTACATACGAGGTTCGATTACGGGAATCGTGTGTTCTCGCTCAGGTTGCTCGATCAACCGGGCCAGGTGGCTACGTGTAACGATTCGCATGTTTTTGCATGAACCTCGCGGGACCACCGAGCAACGACCCGGTTCCCGTGTCATTACGAAATTCCTCGCTCACCAAAGTCCGTCGGATGTTCGAAAACCGCGTGGATACCGCGCCGAGAATAGCGCACGCGGATTGATTCCAAGTTCGCTTCGCCGACGGCTGATTTATGGTCGTTTAAGTACACTCGCCCCTGACTGGGTCAAAGAGTAACGAACAACGGGGTTCCTTTATGGGCAACGAAAAATGCAGGGAGAGATTGATAAGCGGCCCTCCCAGCGCGTCGGTCCAACGACGACGCTCTTTAAGCGAATTAAATATCTGAATGGAGTGATTACCGCCCTGTGCAAAAGCTCAATACGAGCCGCCTTCGAGACGTTCTTACACCTTTTGTTCGCGATCCACTTTTGCGATCAATCGCGATCGACCCTACGTTCGAGCTTCTCTCGAGTCACAGTTCTACCGGCGTGTACGAATAAAAAAAAGGGGTCTCGATTGAAACGGCCAAGGGGTCGTGTAAAAAGTTTCTTAACCCAGTTCCAAGGACATTTCTTATTGTCGCGTGTACACGCGACAGCGGTGCTCTCATTGTTCTGTAATTGCGCTCGCGAGTCGTGTACCGATCTAATGCCTACGTCCTCCAGCGCATTTCCTCTCGACACGGTTCGATAAACCTCGGAAGATCAAAGACTTCTACGAGCCGAGTCCCAATACGAATCCGACAACAGGATAATTTGACGCCACGAACGAGTCGGGTCAGCCCCGCGAAGGTGATCCACTTTACGGCACCTGTAATATCGGTCCGACCGCCGTAAATTACTATAGCGTTCGTTCGCCGAGCCAACCCGGACACACCGTTAGGCCGATTAATTGATATCCTTGCCACACCGCGTTTAACGTTCATTACCCTTGTCGAGTCACGTCAAAACGTTCGGACGTTAAGTGATAATTAAACGCGCGGTGCTCGCCAATCGGCCGTCGTGCGATAGTTACCGATGAAAATTTACGCACGCGACACGCAACGATGCCCAAAACAAATACCGTAAAACCATTCGGAATGCGTTTACTGCGCTTCGACCGCTTTTCCGTGAAACATTACAACGCTCGCAGAATTCTGCAGAATTCTGCAGAATTATTCTTTAATACTCGATTCGGATTTTACATTTTATACTTAAGGTGAAGTTATGGCATCGGCGCAACGCGCGCCTCGCAATATCCTCATGTTATACACTTCCGCTTTGAGATTCTTGCACCGTTGGAACACTGATATGCGAGAGTTGAACCGACTCGAATCAGCTATTTATGATTTCCCTTGAAAGTTGCATTTCGACACAACTGATATTTGATCGAACGACCAAACGAAAGAGCAACGGTACGTGGAAACCGCATTTTTCAGAGAAGAACGTTCGCACGTGAACGTACCTATGGTCGAAGGAAAAAAGAACGGAAGGACCTGCGAGCCGGGCCAACGAGACCGGTCTCGTGTATCTGCCATTTCCATGTATTAAATAAACATTTTGCCGTTGTCAAAGCAAAGTATAGCGGTGTGCTATGGTATGTCCCGTGTACATGACCATACAGGGGAACTCGTAAACTATGCGACTGGACAAGGCGAGCTTGCACCGCGCCGGGACAAGCTGCCCCAGCCGTTCGCTAAATTACTCACCTCGGGACCTCTCACCTCTCCTCTCGGTCATCTGCCTAATAGCGAACAAAGGCATAACTATACGCATCGCTGTTGTCATTATTGTCCTACGAATAAAAACTCGACCCGCACATCCGCTGATCCGACGCGACGACCATGCCAAGAGAGACGGATCGCTTTACCTGAAAACCTGTTGATTCAATTTGTCGCTGCTAGGCGAGCAAATGAGCGGGTGTAACGCGATTGGCACCTTCGATGTGAAACCGGAACATCTACTTGCAGAGTCCTCACTGAACACGTCCGTTTCAGAGAATTGATAGACTTGGTTCCAAACAAGAACGTCGACACTCGTCGTAATAAAAGATGATCTTTATAGAGCCGAGTACATTTTCCGCGGCATTGAATCGATTGGCCATTATCGGTGGTCGTCAACGAAAAAATATCTATAAATAATCCCGGAGGAAACACTCATTGAACGAGTTTATTATATTTACGGTGCGAACGAATTTTTCCCGAAAATCTAATATCTAGTGTGTGCCGAGTCGATAGTTAAATACGGGTGAAATACGGCGCTGTACTTCGCACGATTGCTTTTACGATTCTCGAACGCATTAAAACGCGTTGCTCATGCTCCTTAATCGTGCTTCGATGACACTTGTTAGAGCTAAGAATAAATCGGTCACGTTCGATACGAACGCGGTAATGATTACCCGTAATACTGACTGACGATGCATGTACACGGGCTGCAGCCCCTTTCGTGGACCGTTAAACGCAGCCTCTTCTACTGGTCCGAATTAAAGAACGAGCGCTTACCCATTAAATTTATTGCCAGCCATCCAACAACTTCCCTCGCGCCAATTTCCCGGTATTCCCTTTCTCTTTATGGACTCGTCGGATCTTCTTAACTGTTCACGGAAAATATCCGACGCGTCGTTAATTACGCCGACACACTGCGCGGCACGGAATCTCGGCGTTCGAATAAAGATGATCGTGAAATTCGACTTCACCGGGAACGAGGATGTTCCAGACGTTCCGGCAGTTCCGGAAGTTTCCGACGAGAGATAAGCAAGGTACCTGTGGCGCCAATTCGAATTATATAGACACTCCTCGTTTTCTGCCACACCGTCCCGTACAATTGACGCATTCCATTGCAAAAAGAAAATCGCGATCACTGAATTTACAAGGCCGTACGCGTTTTCGTCGAATGTATCGACCAACGTTAAGTAAGCGACGACGGTTACTGACTAAAATTGATTTCCAGTGTGCACACCGGGAAATTTAGTCCCAAGTCCCTACACGAAACTATAGGGTCTTCCACCTGTCACTCCATCTACAGTAATCATCATCATCGTGCCGGAGTATACGCGTTCTTAATCCGTAAAACCGGGGTTCTGTCAATTGTCGCGCGTAACGAGGATCGTTTCTAATGAAAATGTGGTAAGCTGACCAACTCCGATCGCTGCTAGCCACGTCACCCGTAACAGATTTGTTTACAAACATCGCGGCGACATAACCTCGATCCTGTCACTTAACCTGTTAACGGCCGACTATACTATATGTACATGCATACACGCGTACACGTACAGGTATGCACGCGGCTATGTCAATAGAGTCTGTTATCTGTCCGTTGTTCGTTTGCAAGATGCACCCTGCATTGGGAAATGGCACGATGGTCCACCGTACTTTCGGGGGTATTCCTGGCCCTGACGATGGTCCTATCCCTGGGCAAGCTGTTGATGCTTGCCACCGGAAACGGAAACAACGGGGACCTCACCGAGGCGGACCAGTGGCTCGCCGAAATCGGCCTCACGCAATACCGGCCTCTCTTCAAAAAAAAAGGTCAGACACTACTGAACCAATTGATTTTTCAATACAGACGAAATAACATCTATATAATATATCNTGTTAGAGCTAAGAATAAATCGGTCACGTTCGATACGAACGCGGTAATGATTACCCGTAATACTGACTGACGATGCATGTACACGGGCTGCAGCCCCTTTCGTGGACCGTTAAACGCAGCCTCTTCTACTGGTCCGAATTAAAGAACGAGCGCTTACCCATTAAATTTATTGCCAGCCATCCAACAACTTCCCTCGCGCCAATTTCCCGGTATTCCCTTTCTCTTTATGGACTCGTCGGATCTTCTTAACTGTTCACGGAAAATATCCGACGCGTCGTTAATTACGCCGACACACTGCGCGGCACGGAATCTCGGCGTTCGAATAAAGATGATCGTGAAATTCGACTTCACCGGGAACGAGGATGTTCCAGACGTTCCGGCAGTTCCGGAAGTTTCCGACGAGAGATAAGCAAGGTACCTGTGGCGCCAATTCGAATTATATAGACACTCCTCGTTTTCTGCCACACCGTCCCGTACAATTGACGCATTCCATTGCAAAAAGAAAATCGCGATCACTGAATTTACAAGGCCGTACGCGTTTTCGTCGAATGTATCGACCAACGTTAAGTAAGCGACGACGGTTACTGACTAAAATTGATTTCCAGTGTGCACACCGGGAAATTTAGTCCCAAGTCCCTACACGAAACTATAGGGTCTTCCACCTGTCACTCCATCTACAGTAATCATCATCATCGTGCCGGAGTATACGCGTTCTTAATCCGTAAAACCGGGGTTCTGTCAATTGTCGCGCGTAACGAGGATCGTTTCTAATGAAAATGTGGTAAGCTGACCAACTCCGATCGCTGCTAGCCACGTCACCCGTAACAGATTTGTTTACAAACATCGCGGCGACATAACCTCGATCCTGTCACTTAACCTGTTAACGGCCGACTATACTATATGTACATGCATACACGCGTACACGTACAGGTATGCACGCGGCTATGTCAATAGAGTCTGTTATCTGTCCGTTGTTCGTTTGCAAGATGCACCCTGCATTGGGAAATGGCACGATGGTCCACCGTACTTTCGGGGGTATTCCTGGCCCTGACGATGGTCCTATCCCTGGGCAAGCTGTTGATGCTTGCCACCGGAAACGGAAACAACGGGGACCTCACCGAGGCGGACCAGTGGCTCGCCGAAATCGGCCTCACGCAATACCGGCCTCTCTTCAAAAAAAAAGGTCAGACACTACTGAACCAATTGATTTTTCAATACAGACGAAATAACATCTATATAATATATCTATTTAAAATAAGCACCGAAACCGATGGAATAAACAAATATTATTGACAAGATGTTCGTACATTTCGATCGAACGTCACGCATCTGAGCGTTAAATATCACGGGCCACGGGCAGTGATCGATAAGACAGTCGCGTCGCACATCGTTGCTCATTTTATTTGGCAAATCTTCAAAACGATTCTAGCTACGTGTATTTACGCGCATCCAGACGATACATCCATTATCGTACGTTTAAACGTCGAGATTCATTGTTTGGCGCGTGGTCAATTTGCCGTAGGGAGTGGAAGCGCCGGACGGCATCGATTGCTCGTAAAGTTATCAGTTTCCCGGAGCACATTAATCGGGCGAGATAACGTGAACTTGCACGGGTACCAAGCCCGTGTGCAAATATAACGCATTATCTTGGCAAGAGGTGCGCCGTATCAGAATTCATTATCATTTCACAGAGCAGGGAGTGACTCGAACTTCAGGGCATTACTATTGACATGTAATCCCTTACTCTGTTCGTATATCGATCGAAATAAAAGTTCCTTGTTCCCTGCGAGGCAAAGTTAAGTGATTTTATGAAACCAACAGGAGAGAATGTATTACGTGAATTGGAAAACTGTCTTGAAACACAGGTTTAAACAGAAGTAAATGGTAACGTTCGTTTGTAGTCGTTCCACTGCATCAGATGCTGAGATGAGAGGCCGATAAATCTGCGTCAGTGTCCGAACTTTTATCGTTTTAGCCCTGTTCGGTGCCAAGAACGCGAGCGCTTGCGCGTTTCCCTCGGGGGTAGCTCGGGTTTTGTACCCCGTTTATTGGTGGGGCGAACGAATGGATACCGAGTTCTCCTGAGCTGCGGCAATGTCACTGCGCGGTGTTTGCACTTGGGCCAACTCGGGGTGGGGTGCTCTCGTTCTCGCCCGAACGTTTCACCGAAACGAACGTCTATTACTTTCCCCGCTGGCCATCGCTGTCCACTACTACTGTCCGACCGATGAACGAGCAAATCCTAATGACCTGCTACTTTTGTTGCTGAATAATAAATACACGTACGATGGACCGTGCCAAACTCATCGGCCCGAAACGAAACTGTGTCACCGTCGACATCCAGCCAATGACTGATTGCCTTTCCCTGTCCGTTTTAATCCTTCCAATTATTCGAGAGCACGAGAGGAGATACAGAAATGTAATTTGCCATCGTGTGCAATCGTACAATAAAATTCTCAATTGTGACTTGATTTTCCGAGAGCTCTCCAAGTTCCGTCGACACTGCGAGAAACGAGATTGGTTCGAGAGCACGAATTTGGTTCAGTCAGCAAGCGTAACTGCTTCCAATAGTCGTTACCTCTTAACCGAATTGCGTATCGATCGCGGATCGCCGAAAATTAAATGTGACTACCGACCGTGAGCGAACGAGACCGCTTGTTTACGACCGAACGACCGAAGTGGGCTGCAATTATCGGAAAAATTCTGGGCATGCGGCGTCAAATTCAGTGATGACCAAATGCTTCTCGTGGACAATAATAAATGATGTCATATCTTCCTTTATGATTCCGTGCGTCTATTCGGTAAACGGATAACCAATCCCTCTCGCGTGTCTCCTTCATTGATTTCCAATTTTTCACCAGAGATTTCCTGCTCGCGAAATTCGCCAAGCATCCGCGTATTGGAATCCGAGGGTGTATCTCAAAGGCATGATCGGGACCAATTCGAATTATATAGACACTATGTTCGCGAAATCGTGGTACAACCGGTGACCGGGATGATTCCTCGATTTTCTCGAAACTTATGCTCCGTATGAAAAAACTATATTCTTCGTTTTCGACTAGATTTTATCATTAGGAATCATCCCCTTGCCGGTTGTACCACGATTTCGGAAACACCCTGTATACTCGCTCCAGGGGTGGCGTACACGATCGCTGTAAAGTTTCGATCCACCGCTCTGGTTTCGGTCTTGTAAAAAATTACATGGTCGAGGATCGATTTGTTTAAAAGCTTGCGAAGAAAATGTATAAGGCGACGTCTCCGGAAGAAGGGAAAGAGCAAAGGACGCGAGAGAGCCATCGGTTTGGCGTGGTCTTTGTGGCGTGGTTGGGCTTTCGGTGGGAACGGCGAACGGGTGGCAGAGGGTGGCTCGGGCCGCGTAATCGTATCGCATGCAGTCGTCTAGCGTGAGTCCGCGCGAACGGATCGTCGAGTCGCATCGCTCTCGAGTCGTCGGACGCCGGAGAAGCTTCAACCACCACGAAAACCTGAATCGCGAAAGCTCGTTGCCCGCGGAGCTCGTGAACCAAGCCGACGTGAGCAATTATGCGCGTTGTCAGAGATCGCGTACGCGTGAACCACCATACGAACGGAGCAATCGCGAGCGGTCAAGTCTTGAACGAGCCGCGGATGTTGGCGCGTTTACCAAGCATCTGACACACTGGCCCGCCTCGTTCTTAGTAGACGCGCGCGTGTCTCGCCGATAGAAAAAAATTTCTCACCCTTTCGTACCGAAACGCGAGACAACCCTAGAGCCTCCCTTCGGCCTCGTAACCGACAACTAGCATAAATGAATAATTGACAAAACGGGTAGAATTTTTGTTTACCGCGCTTCTCGCCCTTAGCCGCGCATCTCGTTTCCCCGTTTTCGCTGGCATATTTCGTGATACCAAGTACGAGTTGCCACAATTCCCCGGTGGAAAGAGCAGTCTTCAGGTGGTGAGACAGAAAGTCGATTCGAATCCAGTAAGTGCACTCTTTGGCTACTTTCGAGACGCGATCGAGACAACGGAGCACCGGCCAACATCTCTTCATTTCATTTTACTAGAATTTCTATGCACCGATTCTTCCGTATGCATTGCTTCGTCACCCCCGCACACAACATTTGCACGTAAAAAATCTTTTGTGCAAAATTTCTTTGTGCACGTTTATCATCGAATCGTACGAATAAATATCGAGCCCTCGCAGTCTGGTCACTTTAGAGAACGTCGAACCCTCGGTGCGCACTTGCTCGATTGCTACGTGCTACACACGGTAAACTTTCCTTCGTTCATAATTAAACACGCTACTCGCAGCTCCGAGGAACGATTACCGTGGCAACTTGCTACCTCGCAGTTGGAGTAGTTGCGTTTCACGGAAAGTTAAACGACGCCGGGAAAAGTTGCACGAGGGAGAAGAGCCCGTCTCTCCCAGCTTCCTGTTCCGTTTTAATTTGGGAGCCGTCTAACTGGCCTGATCACGTTGCCAGTCACTAGCATGCCGTGATCCGCGCGAGGTCGCATCTCGATACACGAAGACGTTGACGTCACGAGCAAACTTCCAACTTTTCCAAAGTCAGAGATCGCCCGGAGCATCGCGAACGCGTCCTGCATTGCGACACTTTGGATGCCAGTTTCCCGTACAAACAAGCGCCAAGTGACCCGAGAATTCCTGATTCGAAGACGAGCACTTATGCGCGATCTACGAACGATCGGGACTAAAATAATCGCGTCAGTAGAATTATCGCGGGTTCGCATTGTCCACCGTGATATATGACCACCCTTCCGCGCTCGCATTGTTCGAGAGTAACGAAACGGAACGAAAATTTGCGAGGACGTCCGCGGCATAAATCACGGCCAAGCGAGCGCGTGAGATCTTGGCTCGGCGTAATCGAAATCGATGCACGGGGAAAGGATCGATCAGCAAATGGACCGTGAACAAGCCGAGAAGGAAACGCGTGTCGGGTAGCCGTTGATCGCGCGCGAAATCGATTTCTCCGGTGTTGCGTCTAAGTACCGTTCCACGGTCGTACAGCAGTCGAGAAAACTATCGATTATACCGTGACCTTAACCCTTCGAACTTTCTACGCTGAAGAAAAAATTCTTACAGACGCTATCTTCACAATTAAACGAATGCTCTCTCGTCCCACACTCCAACAGATTCACATTTCTTTCCTATTAAACATGATTGACAATTTCATTGACGAGAATATCGCTGATGATGAACTTTCCCGAGTCTCTGAGTACTGAGAAGATCGACTTCAATTCCCTGAGACTCTCAAAATGAACTTCGGAGAAATTCGTGACAGAGACGAGGAATTAACGAGTACGCGGCCGCGGAACTTGCTCTAATGACTTTTGCTGACACGATCGTTGGCGTAGGAAGAAAGCATCAAAGTTCTATCGGGACGACGAAATGGTGCGGAAACCAAGCTGTGGGACGCGGGGTACGACTTAAACGGTTGGAAACCATTTCGTCGAGCTTGATTACACACTACAGGGAATTGCAAATTAAATCCGGCCTGGAGACCGAGTAACCGAGCTCGGCTGGGACTCCTCCTGCTAATTAACTGCGAGGATTGATCGACGCGATCGAACTTTGTTTCACCTCACCTAGATCGTCTCTCTGGTCATTCATCTTTCGTTCACAAACAGAGTATTATTCCTAGCTTTCCGGGATTATGTAAATCTAAGCTCGCGGCGAATCGACGCAATTTTTTTTTAACCACGTTATCTCTGTTCGACGTGCGGCAATCGTAGTCTACCGTGACGCGCGAGCTATTAATCATTCTGCGATCGCTCGAAAAAAATAAAATTTGTTCCTTTTATCTCGTACAGCGTACGGACGGTGATTCTCGATCCGTTTTTAATTGATCAGAATCCCCAATGGGAACGGAATCCCGAAACAGTAATAAATCGATGCCTCGCTCTTTCAGTGTCTCACTGTTTCAGTTGAATCCACAGTCATTATAAAACTACAAGAATTCGATGAGAGAATAAAAATCTCGATTTCCTTGATTTCTGGCTTACACCACTTTCGAGATAACCGGCACATATGAGATTTAGAAAGTCGGACGAAGCGAATTCGCGAATCACGGCTGAATGTGTGCCATCTTCGATCTGTATCCAATTCCCTCGTCAATTTCCTCGCGCACTTTCTCGATCGTACGGACGTTTCATCAAACCGATTAACAGTCACTTGTCCGTGATAGGAAGCAATCGATAACGCGTAGCGATCGTAAAAAGTATTGACACGTAGCCACGCCATAATATAAGAAGAAACAGGTAGGTCCACTGTGTTAAAAAAAATGGTCTAATTATTGACTCCATCAAAAAAAATTTATTTTAGAGTTATTAACGGAAATTGTAGGCACTGACGTCCTCTACAAGAAAGGTTCTATGCATTTTTCTTCTATCTCCAGTATTTAACGAGTTACGTATGGTTATTTGGCATTTTATTGATGTTGACAAAATCCGACCATCTCAGCGTCGAAACAGCGAACTTTTGGAAAAAAATTTCGTTTTTCCCCAATAACTCCTAAACTGTTCAAGATACGGGAAAATTGCATAGAACCTTTCTTGTAGAGGACGACGAGATCTACAATTTCCATGTAAAAATATTTGGCTAGCATCAATAGTTAGCGAGTTATTGACGAAAAACGAAAAAATAGTTTTTTGCAAATTACTCGTAAACTATCGAAACTAGCGAAATAATTTTACATGGAAATTGTAGATCTCGTCGTCCTCTACAAAAAAGATCTGATGCAATTTTCTCGTAAATCCTACGGTTTGGAAGTTATTGGCAAAAAACGAAAATTTCACAAAATCTGAAGGGGTACCCCTTGGAAAAATTTCGGAAAAATTGAAAATTTTTTTTTTGCGGAATTTTGAGAAATGCTTTGAATAGAAGTTGTAGGTACTACTATTATCTACAAAAAAAGGTCGTATACAATTTTTTTTCTGTCTCGAATACTTCAGAACTGATCCTATCGTTCTTTCTTATATGTATTGTGACCACATTTTCTAAGAAGGTTTTGTTCGTTGCAATCGGAGGAGTCAATCGGTAGTGTCTATAACTATCGTAAACGTTGCTCGAACAAAGAAAATTGTGTATTCGCGGCCAGTGGCGGCGGCGAGGCTGCGCTCGTCTAGAGACGTTAATTAGTCCGACGAACAATCGCGCTTCTTCACAAGTACTTTTCAACGGAACTTATTACCGGGTTTCCTACGCTCGAGGAATAAGAGGGATTCCGTGATTAAGAACAGTCGTTTAATCGCACCGTTGCGCTGTTCGACTAACGAGTTCCATTAACGCGATACCGCCGAAACTGTGTCACCAAATTCCGTACCCCTGATGCATATTCCCGGGGAATCGCGTATATATCGAAACGCCGGGAACAGGAAGCAGCGAAAACGCGAATCACTATTCGTCGAAAAGTTTTGCTTGAGCAACAAAATAAAATCGTTTCATCATGCTAAATCTGCGCTCGATCAATTACGCGAGTCACGGTATGCGGTAGGGGCTAGTTTCCGTTTCACGTATTGACCTTCCCCTCGAGTAGCGAAATACGACTTAACGTTAGCCTCCGCGATTCGGCGGACACGAAACCGTGCAATGGAAAACGTTGGAATCGATCTGTCCCACCTTTATAATACCAGTAACCCTCTCATGCATAATCATGAGAATGTATGACATACGTATGCCCTGGTTTTCCCTCCCCTTTCCTGGCCACCGCCTGCCGCTCCACCCTCGGCTCGCCACCCCTCTTAGCACCGAAAGGATCGTTAGCACGAAGTAATGCCAGTGAAGGATATCCGTTCAAAAAGGTCAAGAGTCCATACCGTGTGCTACGCGGTTGATTCTCTCATTGTACCCGTGCTACATTTTCGTCTTCCGCGTATCCAGAAAAAAGAAAGAAGGGAAACGAGTGGCAGAGAGATCTGAAGAACCGTCGAGAGTACCAGATCCACCTTTTACTTTTCAACCGTTCGAGGGCTTCGATGCACTCGGTAATGGAAAACTCGTCCCTCGTCACGATTCTCGAGTAATCCCGGTCCATTTCAAGGAAACAATCCGACGATTCAAACAACGCTTAGTAAAAACGATTTTCGAGAATCGTTGAGAGTATGCGTCGTCTTCGATCGTTTCAATGCATATCTGATATTCGATTCGGATTAAAAGGTCCGACGCGAACGTCGATCTGATTGTTCTTTTCTTCGGACGGGAATTGGCCGATGAATTCGGAGGTTCGGAGCGAAGATGAGCGTCGGGAAATGCGGGTACGATAACCTCGGTCTGACCCGAAGTGGACTCTTGACCCGGTTTCGGGTTTAATTCACGGTAACAGTGTCGTTGCCGTTGATTAAATCGCAGTTATCGATCCGCGATCGTTTAATTGGGCTTTGTTAATCGACCGACCTAAAACCGCGCGGTAACAATCGACGATCCTTCGGCGAAGACCGCTATCAATCTCTTTTTTTATCCAGGGCAGAGTCCCTGGATCTGGGTCAACGCGGGCAAAAGTACAGGCACGGTGCCTCGAAATATCTCCCTCGATGGGAGGAGTCGGTCCTTTCGCCGTTTTGATAGCTCGGCAACACGGACGGATAAGGTTTAATCCTGTAAAAAGTTCCGTCGCGGCAGAAGAGGGACGCCAAGCCGAATTAACGCGTTCCCCTTTTGGATATTCATGCGCGGGAGCGTAGGTCGCGAAAGCTTTTCCTTCGCGTTAGCTGGATAATACTCCTTTTCCGTGCGCGTGACCTCTCGCCTCGCTTTCACCTGCTGCTGCTAATTCATATTAATTGCATATCGTTAGCGACGCAGCCGTCGAATCCCGGTAAGAACGACTTTTCATGCTTCGTATGCTAATGCATGTAAAACGATTTTCGCAGTTGCACGATTCCAGTGTCTAGCTTTCACGATTAAACAACGTCGTCAGGCTGCACGTTTTATGCAGAAAAATCCACGGTCTATCATTCTCATCGGTTCGGATGCGCGCCCGTACGCGAGAGGAGATTCTTAATTCTCTGCTTGATAAAAGCGTCGCGTCCCGCGCAATTGTCAACGGGTGTTGGTCATTCGCACCTGCGTCGATGCGTTTACGAAACGAATGAACGTACCCATTGTTCACCGAGCCATACCGTTGATTTAAATTTAGTCGCACGCTTTGCGCTTATCGAAACGAATCGATTTCTCCGACTGTTCCCTCGTGGATGCACACCGTCGTGTGTCCCTTCCCACCGCGGAATCGAGAGGCACCGAAGATAAAACGCGTGTCAATGATGTTTCGAGAAGATGACCTCGTGACGAGCGAGCGATGCGACGACGGTGAACGAAACACTGGTTCGTAGTCGATAAAAGTTGGACGAGTGGGACAAAAGTCGAGAAGTAAACCGACTATGCCGGACAAGAATCGTGGCTGCCGAGATGCGCAACGCGATCGCGACAAAGATCTCTTTCCCGACGAGATCTCGTCGATCGGCATGACGCTGAGACCCAGCGGTAGCGCTTCCTCTGGTAAGTACCAACAACAAAGATCAGCCCGATCGCTCGATAATTGCAGACAAGTTTTATTTATACAATTACGATAGAATACAAATAATTATTAAATTAATTGACTTTGACCCGTGCAATCCTTTCGCGTTTCATCTTTAAACGGATTTGGCTTGGCCTATGTAAAGAAGGAGCTTCTTGATCACGTTCCCGTTAGTCAGTGACTGCTGTCTTTGCGTCTCGGTAACTATGCAGCTCGTCAAAAGATTCCTCTGCACCGCACAGTTGGTGACCAGGGGATAGGACTCCGCGGTACTCAGGCCTGTACGCAGCTGATTGAACGCGTTTAGGATAACGCATTCTTTGATCAGCTCCTCCGATTCGGCCACGCTCGCGTCGCCGATGGCGCAGAGCCAAAGAAGCTTATCCAGCCAAGCCTCCTTCTCGATCGACTCGATCTTGTAGGCCACCCCGTGGTCCCGCAGCCACAGAGTCAACTGTAATTTCGGGATCGATACTCGTGAATAATTCTTAAGCCTTGAATTGTTGAACCGATCGGCTCGGAACGGAACGGAACGGAACGGAACGCAACGGACAACTTGTCTTCTCGAAAATTTCATATCTTCTTAACTTTACTTAACATAACTTTAGCCAGCTTCTTACCGTTCCTCGGGACTTGAAGGTCAACGGATTACCGTTGAAATACAGTTTGTCGATACCACCCGGCAACGGTGACGGATCTATGCAAGTGAAACGATTCTCTCTGATATCGAGCCGTTTGAGTAGCGGCATCTTCCCGAAGATCGACGACTCAATCATGCTAATGTGATTGAACGACAAGTCTAGCTGTTCCAAGTATACCAAATCGTTGAACCACTCCTCCTTTACCCTCGTCAGATTGTTGTTAGGTAGAGCGAGCTTCTTTAGACTGGCCAGCCCGTCGAACGCATCCGAGTGGATGTCGTTGATGTGGCAATTGTGCATGTTCAAGGACTGCAGATACCTCGCGTATCTGATGAACATCCGCTCCTGGATGTATCGCAGATCCGAATTGAAGATCATGATGCCAGACACGTCCGTCGTTTGATTGTTAATCGTCTGCAGAGTGGCATTCGAACATTGCAAGCGATTACCCGAGCCTGTCGGTACAAAGATTTCGTCTCATCTATCGAGTCACAGAACAGAGTGTTTGCTCGTGGCCCAGTTTCTCGATGATCGAAAAATTGAACGCAGCCGAAGCGAAAGAGAGTTTGCCTCACCTCCTTGGTGGTTGCTCACGGTGCATATCGCGGATACGAGCCCGATGCACTTGAAAATGCACAGCAGAGCGACCAGGAACGACGCACACCGCATTTCGAGTGGCCTGCACAGTTCGACGGTTTCACGACTGACGACGCAATGGAACCTACCGGATGAACCGGCGTCGATTTATCAAATCACGCTTCCCGTTCTCGCGGACAGATATCAACCGTCGTTATCACTAATTTCCTGAGTCTCTAATTAGAACAGTAATTCTTTAGAACTTTCCAACGATCCTATTACACCGTGTTTTTCAACCTCTCCTTTGATTGGTATGTTGCAGGCATCTCATCCCTTGCGAGTTGTGGCGAAGTGGACGCGTTACCAGAATTACCGGCACAGGACGAGGAACGACTGCAACGTGCCGCGCGTTTATTACAACAGCGACTGGTTTTGCGCCAGTGGTTGACGGACCACGGATTGCATAGCCATTACCAGAAGTGAGCAGAGTTCTTACGATCGTGCCGTTGCTCGAGAGTTTCAAGCACTCATTTAAATGAGCAATCGATAGAGTGCTTCCAACTTTCAAGCACTTTTCCAACAAATTCTTTTAGACCATTAAAAGTGAAACGTGAAGTGAATGAAAGTCCATGCCACGACGATTGACGACATTGACGATTTAATAAAGTCGGCTTTTAAACAGAAGGATCATTGCTTTTATCTCAGGCTCCTGCAGATGGAAGTCATGTCCCTGGAGGACGTGTACTGGGTAGAGGACAATGCGGCACGGGCTGCCATTGGCAAGGATCTACAGCGATGGACCCAGGCCAGGCAGACGCTGCCTACGTCGAAGGAAGACCTGGAGAACCTCAAGGCTGATCTGTGGAGCGCCGTTGTGAAGAACAGCCAGCACCAAGACGCCTGGACATGGGGTACTCATCTTTTTTCACGGTTGCATAATGCAAGAACGCGTTTCGAGGAGAAACTCGATCCATGACTTTCTTTCTCTTGTGCCCGGACAGGCGGAATGCTAGTCGTTTCTGTGTCGGTAGCAGGGTTAGTGACCCTGGCTGCTATGACACAGCCTGCTTTAGCGCCGGAAGCGAAACATTCCCTGCTGCAATATGTCACCGGCAAGTATCTGTTGCCCAGTAATTGCCGCGTGCATTTTGGATGGGACGAGCCTAAACTCGTGGGAGAGACAATGACGTTCACAGTCAAGGTACGTAACAACGCTTTCTAATAATAAAAAGATAACGGGAGAAAGTCGTTTCGTCCAACAGATCGAAATCATTCTCTTGTTTTGTTTTAGTTTTATCAACGCAACGGCCAGCCGTACCCTATCTGTGACAAGGACAACTTGATCGTCGAAGTCACGGAGGGTACGCGAAGGATAGCTACTCTGATCGAGTTAGGAGGCACCGACCCCTTAGCTGCCAACACCGCAGTCGTGAAATTTACTGTCCGCCATGCTGGACAATATCGTATAGCCGTACTTATTGGATCGTGTCACGTCCACGGCAGTCCGTTTCTTAAGAATTTTCTTCCCGGTACGTTCGCACGATTAAGTTTATAGCTCGTTTCAAGACACGTATCTTCATCTCCTAGGCTCTCCGGATCCCAACAAGACCGTCTTCGTACGGCAAAGCTCGACGGTCGTTTGTACAGCTGGAATCGCACATTCGATGACGATAGAGCCGCGAGACGAGTATGACAATCTCTGTGTATTTGGTCCCGAAGACAAGCCCACGGAAGGTTACCAAGTCAACATTACTCAGGCAAGCGGCCATCTTCAGTCACCAAAATCAATCGATATCATTTTCCTAGCTTGCTTAGTTAGCTTGGCTATGACCAACTTGCCCTTCCTCTCTATTATAGATTGGTAACGCGGTTGACAAGTCGACAGTCACCAATTGTAACATACAGCTTGATTACGACTCCCCGAATCAGAGAGTCCGGTTAAGAGTCACATTCCCGAAAGGTGGCTGTTATCACGCGACGGTCAGTTTAGCTGGATTGCAGCTGCACAACGGCGATTTCGACATCATTGTACTCGAGAGTACGCGTCGTAACGTTCTCTAATCTTGTTTGCGAACCATCTTTCATTTTTAAATGCATTACTTATTCACTGTTGTACAGGTGATGTTGCTAGAATGGTGCATAACAACGTCGCCTCGAAAGATCCGGACATCTGCTATGCCGCTAAACTGCTGGGCATGCAAGGCGAGAAATTCTCGAAACCGAAGAAAGTCGTATGTTTCATTTCGCCTAAGCAACTGACCATCAAGGAGTACTTGCTAAAAATTATACCCAAGAGACTCGTCACCTTCAGGCTTTGTCCGTCGACGAAAGTAAGCGAAACCTTCTCTTTCACAGCTGTAACGTGTACCGATTAAAAACGGTGTGTTCCAGTTTCATTTCGATTGTTCCAACAATCAGTACGACGGTTACGACTTTTTCTCGATCGACGACGGATGTCAGCCGCCCGTCGAATTGATTTCTCTCTACCGGGACATAATAGCCGCCACGTTCACCTTGTTTCTATTGAAAAACATCGGCGGAAGCGAAACTTTTGCTGATAAACAGGATTTCTTTTACCACGAGGTTCGGAAGCATCATCAGAAACACTATCATGAGAAACTTTCGATGAAGGTTCAACGGGATAAATTGTTGGAATCGGTAAATATCGATCATTCATTTAAATAATGTAATGTAATTCCACTTTATGTATCGATTATTATTTTTATAAGTCGATGAAAGCTACCAAAGGATTTTCCGTGACCGACTGGTGCAGAAACTTTGAGATCACCTTCCAAGGTGAACAAGGTACGTAACGCCTTCGCGATAATTAAACCGTAGACGAACTGTGCACGTTTAATTGTAGGAGTCGATTGGGGAGGTGTCCGACGAGAATGGTTCGAGTTGATCTGCGCGGCCTTGTTCGATTCGGGAAACGGATTGTTCGCCTCCTTTGGGGAATCGCAACAAGCACTGGTTCACCCTAACAATAAACGGCCTTCGCACCTTAAATTGAAACACTACGAGTTCGCGGGGCGAATCGTGGGCAAATGCCTGTACGAGTCAGCGCTCGGTGGTTCGTACCGGCAATTAGTGCGAGCACGATTCACGAGGTCGTTCCTTGCGCAAATCATTGGCCTTAGAGTGCATTACAAGTATTTCGAACAAGACGATCCGGACCTGTATCTGAGCAAGATAAAATATATTGTTGAGAACGACGTCGAGGAAATGGACTTGTACTTCGTCGAGGAAGAGTACGACAAAGATGGTCAATTATTAAAGGTAAGTTATTAAGCAACGCGGCGACGAGTGCTTCGTTATTTCGTTTGTCGTCCTTCATTTCTATCAGGTAGCCGAACTAATCCCCGGAGGAAGCAAGGTTCGCGTTACGAACGACACGAAGCTGCGCTACTTGGACGCGCTCGCGCAACACAGACTCGCTACTTCTGTGCGAAACGAGGTGGAATATTTTCTAAGAGGCCTGAACGAGCTCATCCCTGATAATCTTCTAGGAATATTCGACGAAAACGAACTCGAAGTATGAGAACACGTTTTTTTTACTACGATACTCATCGTTTGGTATATGTTTAAGCTCGAATTTATTGCAGTTGTTACTGTGCGGAACCGGCGAGTACAGCGTGGCGGATCTACGAGCGCATCACATAGCTAACGGCAGTTCACCGGAGTTCTTACGAGTTCTCGCTTGGTTCTGGACCGCGGTTAGCAATTTCACCCAGGAAGAGATGGCCCGATTACTTCAATTCACTACAGGTTGTTCCCAGCTGCCACCCGGCGGATTTCAGCAGCTGAGCCCACGATTTCAGATCACGGCGGCACCAACCTTCGCTAACTTACCCACGGCACACACTTGGTACTGATCCTTAAGTTTTTCTACTTACAATTCTAAATTTACCCGTTGGTCAACTTGTAATTATTTTGCAGCTTCAATCAGCTTTGCCTACCAGACTACGAATGCTACGATCACTTCGAGCGAGCTTTGTTACTAGCAATTAGCGAGGGTACAGAAGGTTTTGGTATGATTTAATTTCTAGTCTTATCCGACAGTATATATTTAACATCGTTTTCGTTCGTACCGTTAACATAATTTTAATTGAAAAGAAAATGTCTAATTTCCCTTCT